TACAAAAATTCCTCACTCTCACTCACCCCTGCAGCAAACAATGGAAATTCCCCTTTAATAATTTATCCAGACCCTCAGGGGTTTCCTGTATTTCCTTTCCTTAGTACACATTTCCAATGAAGAGGAAGCTTAATGATAGGAGTACAACATGCCAGTTCATGTTGGGATGTTCTGACTTTAGATGAATTTTAATGTACTTTGCCTCTTCATTCTTCAACAGCTGTCAAAGAATGCATCCTTCTTAAATGAGAGGACAATAAAGAAGACATCAGTAGGGAATACTGAATACAAAATTCACTAAGTGATTATTTAAAATTATTCTTTTTAAAAAATGTATTGGAGCACAGTTGATTTACAATGTTAGTTTCAAGTGTACAGCGAAGGGAATCAATCATACGTGTACATAAACCTACTTGTTTTAGATTCTTTTCCCATATAGGCCCTTACAGAGTACTGAGCAGAGTTCTCTGTGCTACACAGTAGGTTCTTATTAGCTGTCTATTTTATATAGAGTAGAGCGTATATGTCGATCCCAATCTCCCAATTTATCCCCTTCACCCTGATAACCATAAGTTTATCTTCTACATCTGTGACTCTGTTTCTGTTTTGTAAACAAGTTTATTTTACCCTTATTTAAAACCATTCTTAGTACTCATCGTTTGGATGTATCATTAACTTAAAAGAAAGACATCACAAATGTGCAAGGCAGAAAAGTTTAGTCAGGATGAGTCTTTTTACTGTGACTTGGAATGGTTTCCAGGACTCAAAACTTTCATAGGCTATTGGCTAAAGCACAAGGATAAAACTTTTACGTGATTTGTTTCAGATCAGTGTGGGTAATTCAGTAAGGCAGTCATCAAATCATATCAAGAAATAATTTATCCCAAATATAGTCTACTATCTTTTAATTATATTCCATAAAATCATTAATAATTTACATATTCCATTAACAAAAACTAAAACACTATGCTGGCTGACAAATCAAGTTATTTTAACAGGTTATAAGTTTTTCTTTCATTAAATACATAACAAAAGTATGGACATGACTTGTTCCTTTAAAATTTATTTCCAATAGGAAATGTGTCATATATTTAAAATTTAGTTTTTGGAATTTGTGTATGTTATTTTGAACAATTATGTTCAATTTATGTAGTTTTGATCAAATATACTTCTAATAAATATAATGGTAAGTATTTCCAGAATATTTTAAATACCTAGAGCCTAATGATAACAGAAAGTAAAACAAATTCTAAAAATTCTTATAAACATACATATTACATATGTGTTATGCAATATATATACATATATATATATATATATAATAGGTGATCTATAAAGGACTTTACAATAAAAAGCTATTACATTAGAAATCACATTTGTGGACGAAAATGGACTAGAATACAAGTTTAAAGAGAAAAGGAAAGATGTAACTGTTACGAATATTAAAGAGGAGGTTGTTTGCTTATTTTTAAAATAAGTGATGGTATTACAAAATCATAGCACTTAAAGGCCCCTACATACGTCTGAAGCAGCCATTTAAGATATCTATTTTTAAATGTTAATATTTAGGCCATGCAGAAATTATACTTTTTAAAATTATTTAAACTTAAAGTAAATAAATTTTGATGCCAACTTTAAAATGTACTCTTGAGCACAGAATATTTCAAATGTTTTTCAGGTGAAAAGGAAGCTAAAGAATTTGAAGACCATGAGCAGAGAGGATTCCTTTGGCCAGTACAATATTTCAGGTCCCTGTGAGGCATCTCAGATCCTGCAATCTGTGGTCCCTGAGACGCTAAAGGGCTTGACTACTAAAAATAAGACTGGAAGGATACATGTTGGCATGTTGCAGTATCAAAATTAGAAATGATTTTTAAATTTTTCTTCATGCTTAAATTACTATTTTTTAACATGACCATGTAAGTTGACCTCTGAACAAAGCAGAGGTAAGGAGAACCAGTACTCTATTGAGTGAAAACTGCATATAACTCTCCAGAGGGCCTTTGGTATCCACTGTTCCACATCCATGGATTCAACCAGTCCGGGCTTGTGTGGTACTGTAGTGCATATTAGTGAAAATAATCCACATTTAAGTGAACCCATATACTTCAAACTCGTGTTGTTCAAGGGTCAACTATATTCTTTTAAAATAAGAAAAGAGAAGTTATTCTTGAAGGATAGAGCAGCAGATTTAGCAAATCTCACCAGAGACACCAAGCCCTTTTAGGTCCCATCCTGTTGTAAACTGAGGCTGGGCTGCTGGAGCAGGTTTAGCATCATCACACCAGCACGCCTGGTCAGACGATATGCTTTCCCTGAGTTTACACACGCGAGTCATGGGGCTCATTGTCACATGAGGCTGTCCGTGCCTCTATGGGCCAACCAAGTCTGGAGAATACAATCATTGTTCTAGAGCGTCCTGTCTGGTGACAAAGAAAACATTATGCTTTCTTGTTTTGTATTTGCCAAAGGCTTTTAAAAACAGCCAAGAACTGGCCTTTCTCCTTATGTAATACAAGGATTTGGGGAGTCAAATTTCTAATTAGAAAAGCCATTGAATTGTCAAGTTCTAGGACATACTTTTACAAACATTTTTAAAACTGCTACCCTCTTTTAACAGTAAACTTTAATCCTTGAGGATGATTTTTTAAAGATATTAGGAATAACATATTATTAAAGAGATTTGTGTTTTCAGAGAGAGTTACCTTTTCTTTGCCATTAACCCTTCACGGAGGTAGGGCATTAAGCAAAGGGTGAGCCTGATTAGAGACTAAAGGTGAGGACCTACAAAGAGAAAGCCAGGATGGAGGGAAAGTGCCTGATCCATATACCTCACACCTAGGTGTGCAGAAACAGTGTGTGATTAATAAATAAAGGAATATACGGATCCCTAACTTATCATAAACCTAAAGAAGCCTTCACATTATGTAATGCATTTAGGGACAATGAAAAATTCACATTCTGGTTAGATGTGATTCTTTCACCTTTGGCCCACCAGCCCACCCCTCAGTCCACAAGGTCATGTCTTATTTTATAATTACTTCACACAGGTCTTTGCTTTCCTATTAAATTATAAGTTAATTGAGGGTAGGGTTATTAACTGAACTGTCTTTGTGCTGTGTGATATCTCCATCCTCATTCTTGACTCTCCCCAGTACAATATTTGCTACAACCATGGGCTCAGAAGATGTAAGCAAATGAATGAATGAATGAAGAATGGTTTACAGTATCGTGTAAACAAAGATTCAATTACAGAAACAGAAATGTTAAAACCTAAGCAGTAAAGTTTCATAAAAATTAAGTATAAATTTTAAGATCATATTAATCAGATTTCCAAGACAGCACAGTCCCCTGCATCCTTGAGCCCTGGGAGCAAAGTGAGAAGTAGGAAAGAATGAGACATTGTTGGAAGAGATCATCTGCTTGTCCTGAATCCTCAGCTGCCAGGGAGATAGAGGAAAAGCACACCCTCCATGCTGGGGGCCATTGGAAGGCTTCAGTCGCCGGTGACCTGCCCCCTCACCTGGACAGATAGGGCCCGGGAGAGAGACATGCTAGGCTGGGGTTTGCAGTGTTGCTTCAGTTACAGAAGCACCAAGAAACTGCACAGGAGAGACTCCGAGGTACGGAATAGAGAGACTTTCTCACAGCACACAGGACAGAGAAAGTGAAACCAATGTTTATCTTTGTATAATACTGTATTTGATGAATCAGACCTGATTTCAAGCAGTGTACAGCTGAGTAAAGAAGAAAAGCCCAGCCTAAATATTAACATACAGCGAAACACGATGAACACTGTAAGAAAGGTCAGATAACCTGTGGAGGAAATTTAAAGGTGTGTGTGTGTGAGTGTGTGACCTCAGACCAGGAATCGGAACTTTCACCCTCTTCAAAGCTCAAACCACGCAGACAATGGCAAGGTCTGACACCGTGTCTCCCCACTTACCTCTCATTTAGAGATCACTCCAAGTTCCCTTGAGGCAGGAACAGAGACACAGACATGGAGGAAGGACATGTGGACTCAGGGCGGGAAGGGAAGCGTGGGATGAGTTGAGAGAGCAGGATTGATGTATAGGCACTACCTCGTGTATATGTCAGATATGAAACAGGTAGCTGGTGGGATCTCATCACCGCACAGAGAGCTCATCTCAGTGCTCTGTGATGAACTGGAGAGGTGCGACCAAGGGGCCGGAGGATTCCCAAGGGAGGGGGTTTGTGTGTGTGTGTGTGTGTGTATATACATGGCCGATTCACTGCTGTACAGCAGAAACGAATACATCGTAAAGCAATTGTAATGGACTACTCCCGTATCTACAAGCTTTTGTTTTGGCTATTACCTTGGCCTAAAATATCTTCTCCTTCATTCTCTGCCTTCAAATATGCTACTTATTCTGCCATATGCAGCTGAAATACCATTTTTCATGTAACTTCTCTGACATCTAATCTGAATTAAATACTGCTTTCTCTGAACTGCTACAGCACACTGCTTATAGCCCTATCTAGTAGTTTCATTTCTCTTTATACCATATGTACTCATGCATGCATCTGTCTCTCAAGTCAAACTATGACTTCCTTTATCTTATTCCTCTTTCTGACCTCAACAGTAGCTATCACCATGATCTGAATATAGAAACAGAGTTTTACAGGAGACAGAACCTGGGTTTTAGAGTCTGCATCCCTGGGTTCTGATCCCGGCTCTGTCATTTCACCAGCTGTGGATCTTGGGCCTTACTTAACCTTTCTATACCTCCATTTCTGCATCTGAAAAGGAGCTAAGATCTTCCCAAGGTTATAATAGGTATCAGACATAATAAATGTAAAATGTCTAGTTTATAGTAGATCATCTCCAAATAGTAGTAACCACAACTTTTACTCAATGTAATAAAGAACTTGTTGAATCAAACATATAAAATTGTCTACTATCTATGAGACCTAACAGAGTGTAAGTACACAGTGGAAGCTTATAAATTCTCCTTGACTTCGACTTGTTAAAAACCTACCTTGAACTCCTTCTCTATGTTGGCCAGCACTGCCAGCTCATTGCTAAGCTCTAAAGCTGTCATGACTGGATCTTCGCTAGACAATGACAGGTAAGCTGGGCTCGCCAGGCCTTTGTAGGCATTAATTCTAGATCTGGAGTGGCTGAAGGAGTCATGCTTCTGTTTCTGGTTGCATTCACTGCACTTGCAGAAATAGTCATGAGGCCGTTCGATCCGAGCACCCTTCCGCAAGAGGGTGTGCACAATTTCATATTCCTGGCAGTGGGCGGCCAGAATGATTGGGGTCACATCATGGGAGAACCGTGTCCCGTCTTCATCATATGCATAAAAATCATCTTGTTGGAGTTCAGACTGACTCGGGCTGGTTGCTAACCGCTTGCCTTCAGCAAAAGCTGGGTGACTGAGAATGGCTTCCACAATCCGAACATAACCTTTACTAATAGCTAAAAGCAAGGCATCCCCAACACGAGAGAGATTTTCTTTCTTGAGAAGAAGTTCTGTAATTTCCAGATGCTCATTAGCCACTGCTAGCTGCAGGGCATTCTGGCCCATGTAATCCACACAGTTGACGTTGAGTGAGAGGCATTCTTCCAACATCTTCCTTACCACTGGGATATTGCCATACTCAGCTGCATCTAAAAAGCGTTCCTCCTCAATAGACAGGCTTGTTGAGTGGTCATTAAACATGTACGCTGGTCCTCGGTTAGCTAACCGTCTCCCCTTCTCACGGAGAACTGTCTGCCGCCGGTGGGTCAGTCTGTTGTCGGTGCCCCGGCTGTAATAAGATAGAAAGATTGTGAACAAATTACATTAAGAGCATTTTAGTGGGTCAGATGACCTGCCATTCATCTAATGCAGTCCTCAAGTGTATTAGATGCTGTCCCACCATCTCTAGACCAACTATAATACAAATGAAGACGCATTTATTTGTTAATGGATTCCAAGAATTTCTCTTTTTAGAAAGTCAAACACGTTGCAGATTTTAATATTTTAATTTGGGTGAAGGTTCAAGCAGTTCCCATAATCTCTCTGTGCTGTGCATACAGATTAATATGTGCTTTTCATTTACAGGTAGGATAGATAAAGAGAGACCAAAATGTTGCCATTATGACATAGTATGTGAAAATATAAAAAATAAGTAGGAAAATAACAAATCGACTCAAGTCAACATATATTTATTGAGTCCCTCCTATGCCAGGGTCAGGCATTATATAAGGTCTGGAAAAAGCAAAGGTGAAAAGAAAACAAATAAAGTTTCTGTCCTTATAAATCTCATAATCCAAAGGGAGAAATGGACAATTAGTGCCTTACCTTGTTACTAGCTATTTAATTGTCATGATAAACCTACCGCAGGGGCATCTAGTCTACCTTCCTAGAGAAAGTGATGTGCTGAAAACAGAAGCATAGAAGAAGTCAAGTGTGACAGTGTAATTGGAGAAAGTGGGACAAGGTCAGGTACAGCTAGGGAGCTTCCTCCAGCACAGGGATCAATTAAATGCCACGGTGAGGGTTTCATTGACAGGGAAAATAAGTGGGTTGGACTCTGCTAGGCATTATTCTAAAAATCACTGGAAACCTGAAAAGCTGTGATCCAGGTGTTAAGTGGGAAGGAAAGAGTATGAGAGAGTGTGAGAGTGGGACAAGGTCAGGTACAGCTGGGGAGCTTCCTCCAGCACAGGGATCAATTAAATGCCACGCTGAGGGTTTCATTGACAAGGAAAATAAATGGGTTGGACTCTGCTAGGCATTATTCTAAAAATCACTGGAAACCTGAAAAGCTGTGATCCAGGTGTTAAGCGGGAAGGATCAAAAGGGTGGCCAGCCTTCAGTGTTGACTTTCACTCTGTGATCAGAAAAAGCAATTCTCCCTCTGAAGGAAATGCTACAATGGGGATTTTTTTTTCTCTAGTGATTCACAACTTCATGTCTTAAGGTCTTTTTGAGCTTGAAGCTATGTCACTATCACTAACTGGAAACCCAACAAGAATAAGTTCCTGCAGAATATCAAAGAGTCAGGTTATGGGGGAGTATGAAATGAAGAAAAGTGTGACTGATGATTGATGTCACAGATCTTTATAAATGTTCCAAAAGTCATCCTCCTTCAAAGACTGTCACAAATTTCCCTGTATGAAGAGATTTAAATAGACCCAAAGACCCCATAAGCCATCTTCCCCTTCTATGGGGCCAGGCCTAGAGAACCTAACTTTCTTTCCAAACTAACCCTTGTCCATCTTGATATCAAAGCTCCAGGCAATGTTGACCATGGCAGTGTGATGCCCAAATAAGTCAGCAAAATGTCTGCAACTCAGAAATAGGTTGTGGCTGTCCAAGGAGCTTGAAGATGTTCTGCCATATTCACAAATTTTTTTCAGAAATTTTTGTTCAACAGTGTAACCATTCACGGCCTCTTCAGAACTAACCAAGCAGTTTTACTCAAAAGATAGCTATGTAAAAATTTTTAAAATGATGTCGAGGCCATAGCCAAACATGCTATGATACTAGTAATCTTTTAAAATGTTAAAATTTTTAATTGGAGGATAATTGCTCTACAATATTGCATTGGTTTCTGCCATGCAATACCGTGAATCAGCCAAAAGTATACATATATCCCCTCCCTCTAGAACCTCCCTCTCACCTCTCCATAATTTTTAGATAGATCTTTAAGTAATGAATATATAGCTTTTATGAAGTACTATAATAAGGGAATTATTTATACATCTATTTTTCTTTCTATAGCTATTGTTTTGTTTCCAATCCCATTTTAACCTGGATCCTAGTCATGCATGTGCATGCTGAAAGACTTGAAAAGCTTGTTACAGAAAACAACAGTCCCTTATTCTTCATTTTCTCCACATCCTGATATTTAGAGGAAATACATTTCAACTATTTTAGTTGATTATGTTATAATTTAAATCCTTACATTCATATAACTTGGTAATATTGCTATTTCTTAATTTTCCAGATTTTGTATTACCTACAGACTTCCCATTGTGAAAGTTGAATATTTAGGTCACTTTCACAATCTCCCACCCTATGTTCACACCCTTCTCGTGCGTGCATGCACATGCACACACACACACACACACACACACACACACACACACAGACCATGCTTTTTAGATGGTGGCCATTCTGATGTCTTGAGGTGATATCTCACTGTAGTTTGATTTGCATTTCTCTAATAATTAGTGATACTGAGTATTTTTTCATGTATTTGTTGACCATCTGTATGTCTTCTTTGGAGAAATGCCTATTAAGATCTTCTGCCCATTTTTTGATTTGTTTGTTTGTTTTTCGGATATTGAGCTACATGAGCTATTTGTATATTTTGGAGATTAATCCTTTGTCAGTTGCAAACATTTTCTCCCATTCTGAGGGTTGTCTTTTCATCTTGTTTATGGTTTCCTTTGCTATCCAAAAGCTTTTAAGTTTAATGACGTCCTATTTGTTTATTTTTGTTTTTATTTTCATTACTCTAGAAGATGGGTAAAAAAAAAAAAAAAAACCTTGCTTCAATTTTGGCCAGATGCTGTAAAACTCTTAGAAGAAAACATAAACAGAACAATCTTTGATATTTTTGATTCTTGTCTACAGGGTCCTTTGTTTCTGGAACGCCTCTTTGAATGTTGGCAATTCTGGAATATCCTTTATTTTCTTCTTTTTTCTCTCCTATTTTCCAATTATTTATCTTTTCGTACAATACTCTGAGATATTTCTTCAACTTTAATATATATCTGTTGAAAATTCTTCCTCTGCTATTACTTTTTTAATTTGCAAGGACATCTTTTATTCTTCACATTTAAAGAAAAATAATACCTTTTTCTGCTTTTGAAAACACAGTATCTTATCTAATTCTGGGGACATCAGTGATAAAGATTCTAACAGAGATCAGAACACTTTAGGGAATTTATTCCTACTCCTTTTTTATGCTTATTTTTATATTTCTATTTTATGTTTGTTTTATACTTTATATTAGAGTTTTGCCTCAAGTAACTAGTGATCGTTAGTTGATATTATTTTCAATTCTTAAAAAATAAATATTACTTCTAATGTCTTTTCAAAGAGAATGTAAAATTTTCTCTTACAAGAATTAGCCAGAATCTAATGCTGATTTCGGTAAAAGGTGATTCTTGACTTAGAGTGAATTTCTAGAAGAGTACAATTATTTCTGAGTTAACAGGATGGAAGAAGTGAAAGAGACAAGAGGTCACCAAGATCTGTTGCATGAGCAACCATCCATCATCTTCCTTCAGAAATCCTGAGCCCTCTTCCCTTTTTTGCGTCACTTTTCTGGCTTCTAATAACCTCTTTAGCCTTTCACTTCCTCTCTTGTCTTCTATATATATTACTTTCCATAGATTCTGTTGTAGATAGGAGGAAGCTCAAAAATCAGGGGGAGGGGAGACATCTCCTGAACATGATTAAAGCTCTGAGAAAGAAAAACTGTAAAATTAAAGGAGAAAAGAGCTAGGATCAGGGGATTTATAGAAGTGAGATTAAATTACTAGGAGTGCAAGAAAGGTTTTTGTGTAACTAAAAAATAAAAAGACACAGAATTGACACAAAATAGTATCAAGGACCAAAAGGCCAAGAACCAAGCCTCTTTCTTGTTCTTTTTCTTTCATAAGATCAGCAGAAATAATTATTCCAATCCATTTTACAGAATTACTTCTAGGCTTAATTGAAGTTATGAATGTGGAAAGCATTTAAATGGAAATGTTCAAGTTCTAATAACACTGTTTGCTTTCCCACTTGACGTCCATGTGATATTTTAGACTATTCTTGTAACTATCAAGAGTGCTTTAATCTACATAATCTGGGAGCAAGTTGTCACCTAAGAGTACCTGAGATTTATTTATTTATTAAATTCATGTATTTAATTGGAGGATAATTGCAATACTCTGGTGGTTTTTGCCATACATCAACATGAATCGGCCACAGGTATATATGTGTCTCCCGCATCCTGAACCCCCCCCCACATCCCTCCCTTCTGGGTTGTCCCAGAGCACTGGCTTTGGGTGCCCTGCTTCATTCATTGAATTACACTGAGGTAGAATAAGCCTGAGTTGTGACACCTTTCATTCTAAATTTCTAAATTAACGATTTATGACTTTAATGTTATTAATTTGAATAATGGCAAGTTCTATCCTGGCAAGCCACTAAGGATATATCCGATCACCTTCTGAACTATTATGACTTTCATACTTGTAACTTCCATCCTTCTTAAGAACAGCAAAGACAGTTCCAGAGAAAATGATTTCTTCAGTTTTAAAGCTTCTCCTGTCTCTATCACAAATTTTAATCATATGCAGTGACATAGATTTCAGATATGTTTTTATAAAAAGGCTTGGATCATCATCATTTCCTTAGCACTCTGCCACAGGAAAGCCAGACACAGAATGTTTATAGAGGCGTCTAAGATTGTTTTAGGAAGATAACTCTGACGGGCAGAATGAAGGCAGTAGTCCTTGCATGGGTAGTGAGATAAAGGGAAAGTGTTTGCATGTTGACAAAATGCATGATTTGCTGTCTCCTTGTCTTCCTCAATGGCTTCCCTCGTGGCTCAGCTGGTAAAGAATCCACCTACAATGCGGGAAACCTGGGTTCGATCCCTGGGTTGGGAAGATCCCCTGGAGAAGGGAACAGCTACCCACTCCAGTATTCTGGTCTGGAGAATTCCATGGACTGTATAGTCCATGGGGTCGCAAAGAGTTGGACAGACTGAGCGACTTTCACTTTCACTTTGTCTTCCTCAACTGCCTTCTAAAGAAGCAA